TGGCACGTTTTCATTTGTTTCTCAAATAGCAGCTTTGCATTCATGGAAATGTCTTTTGTTCAGAGGTGGACTTCTCCAAGGAGGCAGACGAGGAAAGGAGCAAAGAGAGAGAAAGCGAAGGAGGGAGAGGAAGAATCAAACCGGGATTTCATCCAAAGGAGTGACGTGCGCCTACAGTTCTGTCTCAGGAAAAGGGGTGCAAGGAAAGAGAAACACAAGATTGAAAAAAATACAAGTTTTAAGTTTTTCTTCCCCTCTCCTTTTTTCTTTTTTCCCTATCTCAACTGTTGCCTCCTTAATCCAGGACAGGAAGAAAAAAAGAAACAGAAGGAGAACGGACAGGGAAACTCAGCAGCGGTAAGCCTCCGGTGTAAGACGAGATGATGCTGAAAAGATTTCCTCCGGTTGTGCAGGCTTTTCTCCTCCTGTCACTGTTGCTTGGATTTGACGGATAATCTTTGCACCAGCTTGTAAAGGAGACCGAAGTGCTAAAAAGAAAAAAAAAGCAGGGGAGGAATAAAAATGAAATGCTACTGGAAGTTCATCAGAGACTATTATTACTATGTTTTTAAAGGGGGGGCAAAGGTGGAGATAATGAGTACAAAATGGGCAATCTTCAGGCTTTCTGAATCCTCCTTTAATTTCAAAAGGAAAACATCACAGAATAATGGAATAGGAAGGGGCTTCTGAGCCCGTCCAGTCCAACCCCTGGCTTCAGGCAGAAAATCGACATCAAAGCAGATCTGACCAGGGGTGGTCTAAATTTCTCTTGAAGGCCTCCAGCTTTGGGGCACTCTCCACCTCCCGAGGCCGTTGGTGCCATCTGTTGTACCACTCTAACAGTTAAGAAGTTTTTCCTGAGATACAACCTAAAACGTTTGGGCTTCTTGTCGCTTGAGCCCATGGTTGTGTGTCCTGCACTGAGGGATGATGGCGGATAGGTCCTGCCCTTCCTCTGGAGGACTACCTTTCCAAGTCTTTGAAAAGGGCTCTCCTGTCTCCCCTCTGTCTTCTTTCCTCAAGGCTCTTTCCATCTTTCCTCCTTCTAGGGCTTAGTTTCCAGTCCCTTGACCATCTTTGTCGCCCTCCCCTGAACCTGCTCCAGTTTGTTGGCAGCCTCCTTAAAGTCCAGAACTGGACACAGGACTCTAGAGAAGGCCTAACTGGCGCTGAACAGAGGGTGACAGGTACCTCATGAGATAACTACACTTCTCAGTAATTCTCTTAGGGCCATCAAGAGAATTCAGGTGGGATGTTAACACTGGCTGGACCAGGTCTTCGATGTTCTGAGCCAGATGCTATGGAACCACCGGTGGTTCTGTCAGCATTGGCAGGATCTATTTTTGTCCAGGGGAACTAGGCATAATAGGTTTGGACTACAAATCCTCTCATCCCCCAGCTTGCACAAGAATTGGTCAGGAATTCTGGGAAGTAGACCAGAACTTCCAAGAAAATACACTTCTCCCTTGAAATTGCACAGGTCTCTCTCTCTGTGTGTGAACCAACTGTTTATGCGTTGTGGTTATGTTCAAGGGGGCATAAAAGTTATACCCAGATTTTGAACTACACGGGAGTCTGGCACCCCTTGTTGAAGGGAGAAGGGTAACCGAGGTTGCTTCCCCCAGCTGAACGCGCTGACTCAGAAATGACTCTGTATGCAAGTGTTAATCTGGTTTAATAAACCGTGAAGAGACAAGCTTCAGTTCTGAAAGGCCAAGATCCAAATCTTAAGGGAAGCTCTTAAGAGACATGGGGGGTGGGGGTGGGACGACAGTGGTGGAGCAGCAGCAGTAGCTGAGTTCTTGCTTCCAGCGCAAGGGTGGGAATCATGAGCCAGGCTGCTGGACTCTCCCCCTACCTCCTCTTTTATTATGAATGGGGGGAAAAAACCCAGAACCAGGCATCCACTAACTACGCTTTAGCAAAAGGTGCTCAAAACACATAGGAATCAGAACCCTTTCAGCCACAGAGGAACCGGTGTGCCTCTGCTTTGGGGAGCTAGGAAAAAAAATTCACCCCTTGAATCTCAACTGTCTCTGCTCTAGAAGAGTGTCATGTTTATCAAAATGAGATGTTTTCTTTCTCTTTTTTAAGGCTGCAAGCCAGCCCTCAGGTCTGCTGCACTCACTTGGACCGCAACGTAAGCCACTCCCAGGTAAGCCGCGATGCAAAGCGCCAGGAGAAGGTCAAAGATGGCAGGCTTCACCCTAAAGCAAAACAGAGACACGTGAATGCCGTAGATTCTTAAATACTCACTTTGTGACGACCACAGGGATCAGGAATCCCAAGTTGGCTCCTGGCTGGGAGGTGGAGGAAAGGAAAAGAGCAGGAGAGAGAGAGAGAGAGAGCGATAAAGAGAGAGAGCGAATGAGAAAGGTCTCCCTCCATTTGGAACAGGGTTGAGCAATCTGTGGCTTTCCGGACCATCACTCAGCAGGTGACCTTGGGTCACTCACGTTTTCTCAACTTTATCTACCCTAGAGCCTTGTGGCACAGCGGTTAGACGGCAGTACTGCAGCCCAGACTCTGCTCACCACCCAGGTTTTACCCCAATGATTCAGTGCAGCTGGGCCAAGGCTGACTCAATCTTCTGTCCTTCTGAGGCCAGTAAACTGGGTACCGGTAAGCTCTCGACAGAGGGGTGTGTGTGCCATGTGTAGCCCGCATCATTAAATTGTAAACCACCCAGAGTGTGCTTTTAGTGGTAGATAAGCAGTAGCCTTGTCAGCAGGCCAAGTGAGTGGGGGTCTGGCAGGCCGGCCACCTACGATGCACTGACCTATATGTGAGAAGGGCGGGATATAAATGTAGAAGATAAATATTTCTTAGCTACCAAGAGGGGCACAATTTAGCGTGAAGGTAGATGGAAAACTAGAGAAATAAGGAATACCTCACCCATAAGGTTCACTTACCTATACGCATTCATTACTTGTTTCAACTGGTCATAAATAACAAACTCGGGATCCCTGTTTTAAATGGAGAAAGAAAAAATAGGAAGGTATTTTACAGATTATTAAGTTTTAATTCGCAGGAACACAGCATAAGGAGGTCAGCTTTAGAGCATCAGTGAATTACAGCCCCCAGTCATTTTTGCCTCTCCTTATGTGACTTAAGGAGAAGTTCTTGAGATCCCAGGAATCCTGGCCAGCACAGCTCATGGTGAAGGCTTCTGGGAGTCATAGTCCAAGAGCACCCGGGGACTTGAGGTTAGGAACCCCTGTTTTAGATCATTAGAAAGAAGGGAGAAGCCCACAGACGGAGACGGAGCCTCCCCAGAAACCACTGTGGAGAGGGATAATTTTCGCGTCAAGCGGAGGAATCTCGCCTATGGCTGGTGGCAGGGCTCTGCACTTCTAATGAAGCTGTCACTTCTCGGATCTGCACCCTCCTTTTCGTTCTTACCGCTTATCCGCCTTCACGTGGTGCTGTTTGACGTCCTTCAGGGAGCGGCTCATGTAATATTCTAGAGTGCTGAGGAAAGGACTGTCTTTGTCCACCAGCTGAGCGGCTCGGGGCTGGCTGGTCAGCCAGTCCATCACGGCCTCCATCTGTTCCTGTTGGATTTGCTGCAGATGAGAGAGGAGAGTTCAGAGGGAAGGACCGAAGCAACCCTGCCCGTTTGAAGCCCACGCTTAGGCCTCCCGCTCCTCCCTGTCCCGGGGTAATGGGCCTTTGCCCCCTGGGCATGTTTACCATCTGTTCTGTGAAGATTTGGAGGTTTGCTGGTAGACCCTAACAAATAAAGGGAAAGAGAAAGAAAATTAGACTTAGAAGTTGGCTATGCACGCTGTTCTGTCTCCCCCTAATGCTGCAGCCAGGTGCAAATCACTAACAAGCATCAGGGATGGGGGTCCAGAGGGTAACAGGAGGGTAAGGGATGGGGGAGACCAGTTGCGCCCACGCCATCCCCTACCTTCTCTGTTAGGTTGTAGATGACCCGCGTCAAGGCCTCGGTGATGATGCGAGTGTTGCGGGTCAAGATTTTGGGATCCACCTGTTCCCTGCAAAGCCAGAAAGAGGAAAGCAGCATCAGAAAACTGGACAGAGATTCTACAACACAACAGCATTGTGGCCCTCCACATGGCTTTGCCAGCTGCTAGGCTCCCCTTGATGCCCGCATCTAAAGGAAGAGGGCAATCAACCTCCTATCTTTATAAATGATTACATCTACGCTACCTAATGACATCCTTTAAAAGTATTTTTAACATGCTTTTCCCCTTTAAAAGGACCCAGGACAGTTTACATCAGTAAAAAAAAAACAATATTTAAAAGCTAACAACGATAAGTACGCAAATATTTCAAAAGAATCAAGCAAATATCACACTAAAAATGGTAAACAGACTCAACACCAAAAACAGATTCAAAGCAACAAGGTGCAATATTCCATTAAAAAACCCCGTTCTGGCAGCCAGCCACTGAGGGCCAGCTTGCCTGAAGACAAAGGTCGCCTTTGTCTGCTGGAGGAAGGAGAGTGAAGATGGGGCCAAGCCTCCAGTGGCAGGGAGTTCCAGAGTCCAAAGGAGCAGTGACCGAGAAGAAGGCCCTCCTCCCCCGGATCCCCACCAGATGCGCCTGTAAATGTAGACGGGCCTATGGCTCTATCTGGCAGACCTCTAGAATTTAAGGATTGGGAATGTTCAAAATTCCCTGTGAAAGGGTTCTGACTGAACTACCCTGACCCGCTGTAAAGCCTTCTAGGTCTCTCCCTTACAAATTTAATGGTTTTATCAAGACAGTTTCCCCAAAGTGCCGAAAATGTAGTGCAAGGCAAACTCGGATGAAAAGAAGTGTGAAATGAAAAGGTTTCCCGTCAGAAGAGAAGGTCTGATCCTCACCCCTGAGACCAGCAGGTGGTGGAGGGAGCCAGCCAACCACCCAAGACTAAAGGCGTCCTGTTCCAGTGCTCCTTTGTTTCTCGGCCCTTGCCCGGAAGCCAAAGGGCCAAGTCCCCCCTCCCAGCCCGCTTGCTGCTCCCTCCGGGAATCTCAAGCCTGTATCTGCAGCCTCCTCACCCAGCGGCTGACCTCACGTCCATGATGCTGTTGCGCAGGGTGTCCCGGTGGCTCTCGAGATGGGAGACGGTGAAGGACGGGAGGCGGCGGATGGCAAAGCGTTCGTGCTCCCACGCCAACATGTCTTCGGCCAGGTTGATTTTCTTGTGCACCATCGAGAACCTCACCTCGGGGAACTGGTTGGCCACCACCTGGGGGGCGGGCGAAGGGGGGGGGAAGAATGAAGGGCAGGCCATCGATGGATCGCCAAGACACAAACAACCCATCCAAGGTGACCATTTCTACCCATCCGTCCAACAAAGGCTGCTTTTCAACCCTGTTCGTTTTATAAAATCACCTGCCAAAATAAAACCATGCCTTGCAAAAAATATACACATATATTTCAAAAAAATCCTCCAAAACGTGAGGTAAAGGGAGGCCCACATCCTAAGGTCTTCTGCTTTAAGGAATATGCTGGTTACAGGTATATCCGGCTTATTTTTTACAGAGAGAAGAGGAAAATATAATAACCTTAGAATAGCAGAGCTGGAAGGGACCCCTAAGGCTCATCCAGTTCAGCCCGTTAAGGAGGCCCAGTGGGGAATTCGAACTCCCAACCTCGGGCTTTGCGGCCAGAGAACGCAACCCTGGAGCTCTCCCACAGATACCACAGGGAGAGTGAGAAGCTGTCTCTGGGTGACACATAACGTGGTCTCCTGTTCAGGAACCCGGCGGCTTCTGCCATCGGTGCTATCTCGTCAAAGGCAGCGCGAACCTGATTCCCCTTGCTTACCATCTCCAGCTCTTTCAGAAAAGCGTGCTGGAGGGTCCCTTCCTTGGGGGGCTTCGAAACGTGCAAGTGGAGACTGTTCCCTCTCCCCAGAGTGTCCAAACACAGGACAAAAGCCACGTTGTCTTGAAGCAAACTGGAATCTAGAACAAGACACAATAAGGGATGATGGAATGACGACGGTCTTGGGCACAGGGAGGAGAGAAAACCCTCTTCTGCATATTTTTGCTTGTATGGCCAGAGTGAGGAAATTCGGGCCCCAAGGCTGAATCTGGCTATTTCCACACCCAGTTTCCAAATCCTGCCATCAATGGGTCGCTTCGTAGTTTTAAGGATGGGATATTTCCTCATCCCTAAATGACTGAAAGGCTCCTCCTAGAATTTAGCAACTAGCAGCAAAAGGATCAAGCCAAAGTAGGCTGACATTGTGCCTTCAAACCTGCCCACCTAAAAACTTACCTGAGATTAAATCTGACCATCAGGCTGACAGAGAGTCTCCGCTCTTGTTATACAGCATGAAAACCCTGTGGGTTGTTAAAACTCTCGGGAGGTTTTACAACTTGCAGGCTACCTATAGTAGTTTTGGTTTGAGGGAGACCTTTCAGGGGCTGCAGTGACTGTCAATCTGTCCAGCAATAACCAATCATTCCCTCCTGCCTCTAATTCAAAGGAAGTCCTGCCTCTCTCCTTTTGGGTGTTTCTCCCTTCTGCTGGAGGCACTGTGTTGTGGCCTGTTGCTGCAAGCAGCCATGCTTTGTCAGTCCACAGTTTTGATCTGTTCAAAACTGTAAGTTAAAAAAAATGGCTCTCATTCTTTTCTGTTTCTAATGTCTCAAAAAGAGTGGCTGAGACTGTAAGTGCCAGGTGATGAGAAAAGGAGGTGGACTAATCTGGGGAATTCTGCTGTAAATCCCTGCAACAAGAGGTGATGAGAAAAGGAGGTGGACTAATCTAGGGAATTCTGCTGTAAATCCTTGTAACAAGAGGAATTTTGCCAGAAATTCAAAATGCTGCAACAAAAACAAGGACTAATCAAAAGATTCAGTAAGTAACGACCTATCTATCCCCCACCCTGCCTGCATTCCCAGCAAATGTACAAGGGAAATGCCATCTGGCTATCACACCTGTGTGATCCAGGTTGTCCTCCAGCCACCTCTTGGTCCCTTGATAGTTAAATTTGCCACCTCCGGATGCAAAAAACAGCAGATTGTACCTGAATTATTGGAATGCAGGAGAAGAGAAAAAGACGGACCCATTTAGACCGGTGAAGGCACAACTCATTTTCAAGAAGAGACTTCCATAATACATAGAAATGCCCACCCACTCCCAGCCACAGCCTTCTCACCCGGCGTGGGTCCGTTTGTAGGTGTAGAGGCGTGAGAACAACCTGGCCAGTTCCAGGAGCACAGCCACCCCGCTGGCATTGGAGTCAGCTCCGTGGGAAAGCCACTAGGCAGGAAGGACAGAAGGAAACCCCAACATTAGGAGAGATGTTACTTTTGGGTAGCTTTCAAGATCCACCCGACACAAAATCATTGCACAGACAAAGGCACTTCTGTGAGCTTAGAAACCAAGGAAAAAGTGCTGCCAAAGCTCCAAAATTTGCTTTCAATCTCGTAACCACCTCACAAGAAACTAACAGAGTCGGCTCTGCTCCTCGAAAGGCTGAGACGAAGGAAAAAGGAAAGTCCAGGGACGGAAACAAAAAAATAAAACAAGCTGCGCAGACTGAAGCCTGTCCATTCAAGCCCATTCCCCCCAGGCATTACACCAGGAACGGGCAAAGTCTGCCTCCACGCCCCAGAGATAGTTGAATCACAACTCCCACCAGCCCAAGAGAGGATCGGAAATGGTAGAGAAAGCTGGGCGTGGCAGCCCAAAAACATCTGGATGGCCCCAATTCACACACCAGGCTACCGGAAGCAGATGATAGCCCCGGAAACAAAATTATAATCAAAAAACAAAATTCCAAGTCGTTCCAGCCAAGTGAGCCAGAAACCAACATGCCGGAACATGGCAGGCTTGACGACTCACGCGAACTTACCGGGGCAACTCCGAAAGAATCGTAGTGAGCAACTATGACGATAGTCGGGAGGTCTTCTCCTCCGAGGCCCGTCAGACGCCCCTAGCAAGGAGAACAACGGTGGGAATGAAGGCCAACACCTTTTCCCTTTTTTCGTAACAACCATCATCTGCCACCAAGTCAATTCTGACTTATGGCAACCCTCTTCAAGGTTTTCTAGGTAAAGAAGAATCAGAAGTGGTTTCCCTTCAGTTCTTCTGGGAGGGTGCAGCTTTTGCCCAAGGCCACCCAGGCTGGCTTTCTTCCCCAAGAGGCACCCAGTGGGGGAATCGAACTCACAGCCTCCGGCTCCGCAGCCAGAGACCTCAACCCCCTGAACTCTCCAGCCAGCTTTGTGATTGCAAACTCTGCAGGAAAGCAGTAGGGCTGCGCAGGAAAATCCTCCAAAACTCACCTCCACGCTGGTGATGGGCCAGTCGCTGACGGCTTTGCTCTGGGCTCCGCTGGTCACCAACTGGAAGCCGTTGGCAGTTGCCGTGTGCAACAGAACTGGAAAGGACACAAGCAGGTGCCCTGATGAAGGTGTGCAAGTCGTTCAAGAGGCTTCAGTCCCACCCTGCCCAAGCATGAGCACTGGATCGCTCGTAATGGAAACAGCCGATAAAAGAGCCGGCATTCGTTGTTATTCCTTCAGCTTAATTATTTTGCCTGTTAAAACCAACTTCAAGCAAGGGGTTGACCAGAACAGAGATGAACAAATGGGTCTTGGATCAAAACGACCCTGAAGCGTTTCTGGAGGCAAAAATGTTGAAAATAAAGCTGTCTTTCTTTCAGTACATCGTGAGAAGGCAGGATTCTCTGAAAAAAGTGGAAGCGAGCAGGAAAAGAGGAAAGCCTAATACGTGATGGACTGACCTCCTAAAGGAAACCACAACTTTTGACTTTGCAAGAGCTGAGAAGGACTGTTGACGACAGGGTATTTTGGAAATCGCTCTTTCCTAGATTCGCCATAAGGAGAAGGTGACTTGATGGCATGTAACAACAGAAAGCTTTAACATCTCCCTTGCTTTTTTTGGGGGGGGGCTTCCACTGAATGTTCTGATCTTTCTATCTTTCTATCTATCTTTCTATCTTTCTATCTTTCTATCTTTCTATCTATCTATCTATCTATCTATCTATCTATCTATCTATCTATCTATCTATCTATCTATCTACCTACCTATGCCTTTAAAAACAAAGAGAAGCTTATAAACACTCAAGTGATAAGTAAAGAACTGTTGGCCTTGGGTAGAAATGAGAATGAGAAGCACTGCAAAATGGTGGAATTTTTGCTGCCAACGTGTAAGAGCTAAAGTCTGTGATAAAGAAGAGGTGAATATTAAGCAACCCCTTGCTTGCAACGCTAGGCTTTGATCTTGCCGGTTTGAAGGCCACCGTGCAAGGATTCATTTGCATAGATTACTACCTAACTTTCAAGTCCGTCTCACTCTAAAAAACAAGTTTTATTTGAGCCTTTGTATTATGCACTTTGGACAAAGGTTTTTTTATCCCGGGTGGTGCCTAATCTTTCTTCCACTAAGATAACGCAAGAAGGCAGCTGGGCAAGGCTGCCATTGTGCAACATTTAAAGGGAAAACAATCAGATTTGTGAGTTTACTAAACAACGCTTTTTTTTAAAAAGTAACCAAAATGATGCCACAAAATATCCATTATTCATCTTAAAAATAATTTCACCAGTGTTTATATTAAATATATCCTGTTAGTCTTTACGATGCTCTAATACATTCTTGTTTTGTAAACACGAAGAGCAAAGGAAGTCCACCAAGCAGGAAGCAGTAAAATGAGGAGCCAATGAACCAGTAAAACCAGGAGAACAGAGACTTAAAATCCTTGCAAAGCATTTTAACAGGTCTAGGGAGGGACACAAGAAACGGTTTTATGCTAGATTGGATGACTCATTGCTTTACCCTGGGGTACTGTCTATCTGAGCAGCAGGTTGACAGGATTTTAGAGTGCAATCCTACAAATCTACTCCAGAGAAAATCCTAGGGAGTTTAGTGATGCTCATTTGCAGGCAAGCCGGTCTAAGACTGCTGATTCAGGCGAAGAAGAGTCTGCTATGCCTCCTGGCTGCCGGGAATTGGCTGGGACCTGAACTCCATACCATGTCAGCTATGCCCTATTCACTCAGGGAATCGCAGGATAGGGGAGTTGGAAGGGGCCTCTAAAGCCACCGAGTCAAACCGTCTGCTGAAGGCAGGAATCCAAATCAAAGCAGATCTGAGTTGTCCAGTTTTCTCTTGAAGGCCTCCAGGTCATGCGTTCTGTTGTTGTACTGCTCTAACAGTTAGGAAGTTTTTCCTGATATTCAGATGAAATCTGGCTTCCTGTCGCTTGAGCCCATTATGATGTGTCCTGAACTCTGGGATGACCGAGAACAGATCTTGTCCCTCCTCTGTAGGACTTCCTTTCAAGGATTTGAAAAGCATTCTCCTGTCTCCCCTCCACCTTCTTTTCTCAAGACTAAACATGTTCGGTTCTTTCAGTCTTTCCTCCCAGGGCTTGGTTTCCAGTCCCCTGATCCTCCTGGTTGCCCTCCTCTGAACTTGTTCCAATTTCTCAACATCCTTCTTGAAGTGTGGTGTCCAGAATTGGACACAGGATTCAAGAGGAGGCCTAACCAGTGCTGAATAAGTTCCTCATGTGATGTAAAAATTATACTTTTGTTAATGCATCCTAAAATCACATTTCTTTCTTTCTTTCTTTCTTTCTTTCTTTCTTTCTTTCTTTCTTTCTTTCTTTCTTTCTTTCTTTCTTTCTTTCTTTCTTTCTTTTTGCAGCCACATCATCTTATTTATATCCCTCCTTTCTCCCATAATCAGGACCCAAAAGAGATCAACACCACAACTAAAAACTGTTTGGACAACAGGTCCCTCCCCCCCAAAAAATGAAGTGTTGTCGCTGAGTCCCTTGGACCCCCGGAATAAAGAGGTCTGAGGGACGGGAAGACGGCATTGACATGAGATCCCTGATGTTTCAGAAGAGGCTTACCTTCGGCAGCTGAGGCTGAGCCTTGCGAGGCAGAAGCTGCCTGCGTTTGTTCATAGATGGAAAGCAGCTCGTCATCCTCCTTGGCGAAATAAACCGGGACGATCGTCTCCATCGCAAGCATCTCCGGCTCTATCTCCATGAATTGCTGAGGAGGGGGGACAAGAGAGAAAACTGAACGAGGAAGCTTGCGGAGACGAACACAGCCGGCAGGCGCTTTGGGCCTGGCGGAGGTTTTGAATGACAAGACCTGTAGCCACCAGATATATACTAAGGAGGAGCTGGACATCCAAAATACCCGGAGGGCAAAAGGCTCCCCCACCCCCATTTACAGAGTAACCATAATTTTCCTCCCACATTAAACTTCAGCCCTGCGGTATCTCTGTGTGGTGCTTCCAGCTGGGTGAGGCACACACACAGGGTTGCCTTCTACTAAGTTAAATCTATGGTTCGTTTTAGTACAAAGCTCCTTACTTTTTTTTTTTTTGATCCACTGCTTGAAAATGGCTTTGGGCTCCAACTCTCAGAAGCTAGAAGCACTTTTCAAAATTTCATTCGACACCTCTCTGAAGGAATGATTTCATCCTCCGTATTTCATCTAAACTGAAATTAGACGCACACGCACAAAATCTCGCGTGCTGGGAGGACACTTACTCGGATGACATCCTGGGGCACTGAAGACATGCTCTGAGGCAGGATGATGACCACAGCGCCGGCGGACTGACGAAGCGCCTTCTGGTACTGTTCGTAGGAGAAGTCTACAAGCCGCATCATGACACAGCGGCGGCTCAGCACGTCCGCCTCTACCGTGCGCGCCTCCGTGTTTAACACAGCATTCCGGGTGCCTGCGGAGAGCAGAAGGATGACGAGGACCCTAGCTGGCCACCTTGTGCAGGACTAAATTGACCCACCACCTTCCACAAGACAATACTGTATAATTTTCACCGTTTGGGGATCTGTTCTGGTTTCCTCTAGGACCCAGGGATCAAAAAGACACACACTTAAGGACGAAGGATATGATCTGTTTGCTAGCTTTTCAGAAGAGGTACCACTTCATAGCTTATATTTAATGGGCCTCATTCTGTGACTGATTGCTGGAAGGTAGATGCAAAGTCTGTTTCCTGGGATGTGGATCTGAATTTAAGGTTTCTCATAATGACTAGCATTTAAAAGGCTCCTGAGCCCAGGAATGTTTTGAGTACCAGAAGGGAGCAATATTTGCAGCCCTTCCACCTACACACATAATTTCTCCTGAAGGCAAATTCTTAACTTATTTCAGCAACAAAATATAGGACCTGATTTTCCCCCTCCCCAAAATTAAAAATGCAGTATCGACAATTACAGCTGTCCACTGAAACAAATTCCAAAAAGGGAGCTCTCGTGCACTCCTCTTAAGAATTTTTTAGGCCACAATTTTCCTAGGTTACCCCTTCAACAATCCTGCCCAAGGAACAGAAAAGAACAAGAAGCAAAATAAATCATTGGCTTTATGTATGACTCCAGGCTGCACCCAGGTTTCGAAAAGAGAACCAAGTTGGAGAACTCCTTTGCTCTGAAGCTTGGAGAGCAGCTGACCGTCTGCGCCAGAAGCATTCACGACAAATCTGAGTTCAAAGTGCTTTGCTCAGCAATCCATCCCCCAAAGGAGGCAATCACCCTCAAATCCAAATCCAAAGGGGTAGTTTGTGGTAGGGGACTAAGTCCTGTTGTTCTAAATTGCACGTTTTATAGTATATTGCATTTTATTGGATTGAATTCACAACTATAAATTGCCCAGAGGGTGCAACTATACATTTGACCAGGAAACAAGCTAGCTAAATAAACAAATATATATATAGTGACACTCTCTGGGTGGTTTACAAGTGTGAATTCAATCCAATAAAACACAATGTATTATATTGGCAAAATGTTTTTTTTCCCCATTTCCCCCTCCTTTAAGAGACATAGTTTAGAGGAATAGTACGGTGCAATGACTGGAACCTGCCTCTGATCCTCTCAGCCTGGGCTACCTCACTGGGCTGTTGCAGCCACCAAGAAGGATTACATAACTTCAAAGAGGGCAAGGGGTTTTCTGTGATTGCAGCCTCTCCATCTCTCCCCAACTATTCGCTGCCTGGCCTACCTCAGAGGGCTCTTGTTGTGACTGCAAGAAAGGACTGAATTGCTGAACAGCTCAGGGGTCGAGGCATCTGGCTGTGGAGCCAAAGGTTGGGAGTTCCAGCTCCTCCCCACCCCCACCGGGCCTCCTTGACAAGGGCTGGACTAGATGATCCACAGGATCTCTTCCAGCTCTGCAGTTCTAAGATAATGATGAGGTCACTTCAAAGAAAAGGCAGGGACTGGAGAGCCAGGAAGAGGAGGCAGGATCACAGCCTGTCCCCTCTCCACTTTAAAAAAACTTTTCAGTCATGGGCTTTTTAAATATAAAAAGACCATTATTTAAAAGCAAAAAACCCAAAGTCTCCACATGCTTTAAAACAAGGAACAGAATTAAAGAAGTACTATATTAAGGATGGGATTCTATTAAAAATGGTCCATGAAATCAATGCACTTCTGTGGTGATGATTAGAGAGCCCTCAACTCAAATCACTCACACGCAACCCCCTCTCTTTTTCTCATGCTCTGCCTGGCCTACCTCGCAGGGAGGTTGGTTTCTGTTGGGGGCGGAAACACACACAACCAGGCCAGAGAAAAGGCCGCCACAAGTAATAATAGCAATAGCGTTATAAATACAATAGTAATGATGATGATAATAATAATAACAACAGTAGTGATAATGGTGAGGATAATAATAAACAGTCTTCCTGATGAAGAGGGGAAAGAGGCCAACCCGGTGTCTGTGTATGTGTGTGTGAGAGAGAGTTGTGGTTGTGTGTGAGAGAGTTGTGGTGTGTGTGTTTGTGTCCTTTTCTCTTCCCGAGGGACGGACGGACGGACGGGAGGGACTGACCGTAGGCCTGCCCGCCCAGCTCGTACTGCTGCATGCGGTAGACGGTGAACTCGTGGGCGGCCGAGGCGGGCGGCGGCCCCAGCAGGAGCAAGAGGACGGCCGGCAGGACCAGCAGGAAGCTCAGCGGCAGGCAGGAGGCCTTCAGCAGCACCGAGCCCAGCACTTCCTCGCCGGCCTCCTCCAGCATGGCGGCGGCGGAGAGGGCGGCGAAGGCGAGGAAGGACCTCCCGGGGCCAGGAAGACGAGGGAGAGGGAGAGAGAGAGGCCCCGCGTCGCCGGACCCGCCGCTCCGAAATCAACCCTGACGGGGGTCCGGAAGAGAAATCGCCTCAGCCGGGCTGGGAAGGCGCACAAGGCACGCCGGGGCATGAAGTCCGCCCCGAGTCTCCTCTCGCGAGAGAGAGCGGAGGGAAGGCTTTCTTCGGCCGGCCCTCGACGTCTCCTCTCGCGAGAGTTCGCCACTGGAGGAAAGCGGGCAAGGCACGCGGGGGCACAGAGACCGCCCCGAGCCTCCTCTCGCGAGAGCTCCTCTTGCTGGGGGTGTTCTTTCTCGAAGAAAGCGGGGGATTCAAGGCTTGGGAGTCTCGTCTCGCGAGATTTAGTGTTTTTTGAAGAGGGGTTCTTTTAGTCCTCCTCTCACAGGAGGATATGGATATGGAACAACTGATTGGTTCAAAATTGGGAAAGGAGTACGACAAGGCTGTATATTGTCCCCCTGCTTATTCAATTTATATGCAGAATACATCATGCGGAAGGCAGGACTGGAGGAATCCCAAACCGGAATTAAGATTGCCGGAAGAAATATCAACAACCTCCGATATG